TCGAACATGTAACATGTCCTGCAATCTGATGGTGTTCACGATCTCTCTGGCAGTATCGAAAATGTAACATCATGTGTAATTCTTTGGATGTTGTCAGGACCACAAGTCTTTTTCTTATGGGTTTTCCTGTTTGGGGATGAGAAAGATCTCCCACACTGCACATGTCGAATTTGCTCGGCTTTGCAATCTGGCTCATACGGACAAAACTGGGGTGTCTCAGCATCTTCGAACCGTCAGGTTGTTCGACATGACAATGTTTGTTTCTTCCAACCTGGTATTCGAACAACACTTGAACAATAGCAATCTGCCAAAGATGCTCCCTTTGTTGATTCATGGTGTTCTCGAATGCTTCGATGGATTTGTTCATGTTCAGTGAGGTCCACTTACACCATGGCTTGCACTCAGGACTTACCCAAATGTTCTTCGGTTGTTCGAAGAGAATATGTGCAAACATGTTTTTCCTGTGGTTCTCGTTTCTGAGATCACCTTGCATCAACCCGAAGCGAAAAGCTTTCAGGCCGCGGGCTTGACTTTGGCGGACTAGCTCGCTTTGAGAAGAGCAGAATATTTCATACAAGAATGTCGGTTCTTTTGCGTGCTGTTGTGCTTGTGAGAACTCTTTACGATACTTACGAACAAGGGTCTGGTATGCTGCTCGTGTCTTGGCTTCATCCCAGAGGTCAAAATCTAGTTGAGGCTCTCCGAAATGATTGATACTGAAACACTCGGCTGTGAGCTTTTGATATTCCGGCTCTTCTAGATCTCCGGATGCTCTTCTTTGATCACAGTCCAGTTGCTGGGCTGCTCTACCGATGCACTGGCCAGCGTCCTCAGATGATGGACTATCTCCTGGAGTGTGTGTTCCACCGAGTTCATGCGCCCTTGGAGATCGTAGAGCTCCTCTGGGAACGACGGGCTCATTGCCAAGTCCAGTGCTTGAGGATCTGGAACATAGGTCGGCACATTTGCTGGATAGGCCTTTGGTTTGGCCTTGGGTTTCAGAGCTGTCATGGGACCTTTCGTTTCGGTCGTCTTGGATGATGTAGGTTCCACAGGTGTCTGATGCAGGTAGTACCGATCCTCCGGGCTGAGCTCTTCCTTTTCCATCTTGTCGAGACGGAGTTGCACATACCGGACGTACATCCGGTGTTCCTTCTTGGTTGAGCTCTCGAATTTGCTCACAACGAATCGTGTCCACTGGGTGTCGGCAAATGCTTCGGGGAACTTGCATCCCGTTTTCGTCTTGCCAAACATGATCACTTGTGTTTCGAGATCGGCCAACGTCATCTCGTCGATCTCGACATGGTCCTCCTCTTCCTTCTGTTGCTTCTGGAGGCGAAGCAGCTGAGCGGACAGCGCGGACATGATCGGGCTCACAACACCAGTGAATCTTGGCTCACAGATTCCTGGGAAGGGGCAATCCAGGCAGCTGCTGTGGACATACTCTTGGAATGCCGCTTCATTGAGGATGCTGGTGCCACTTGGTGCATTGTGGGTACCCTTTCGTCTCCTCAAAGCAGTGGTGGTCTTTGCCAGGTGGCTGGAGCTCCTGGTTGTGCAGGATGGCCTTTATGTTGCGGTGGCAGGACAAACCTCAGTGAGTCTGGCCTCTAGGACTGCTGCTGTTGCATCACGAAAGTGTGCAGGTGTTGCCGTTGTTGCCCTTCCGGGAGTTTGGGCTTGAGCTGTTTGTAGGCATGCCAATCTATGCCTGTCAGCAGGTGTTGGTGATTGGGTCGTCCTGCAAGTGTGGTGACTCGTTGTTGTTGCGCCTCGGTGTACAGCAGGTGCTCCATCTGCCACCAGGGTTCATTAGGAATTGCGTTTCTGGTCAGGTCCAAAGCATGAGGTTTTGTGCCTCCTAGCCCCATTCTTGAAGATAGGCTATTGTGGCTGCCATGGGTCCTCGAACGGTGTACCACGCGTACTGTTTGGTGCCTGTAGGCCCAGAGTGGCTGCTCAAGTGTGGAGGCGTGCCGTCCATGGGATGGGCATGGCTTCGTGGCCCTGTCCATGGTCCCATCGAACACTATAAAGGGGGGCAAGCTTTGGGCTGATCTCCTCGCTCACAGTGGATGGCTGCTTGGTTCCAGGATATGGGTAGCCCGCCCTTCCGTGCCACTGTCCAGTCAAGCCCACTGACCCGATGCTGATATATAGTTCTTTTTGCCTGCAAAAAACGGTGAGTCCTCCTGCATTTCTTCCCGAAGTATGCCTCTGTCATGAAGGCGGTTTCATGCCTTTGCCAATGATAGAGTGTCTCAGCTGTCCATCCCCATTCGTGGAGGTAAGCCAAGCGGAGTGGGGAGCAACGTGTGGAGGGCTTGGACGTGTGATCCATGTACTGGTGGCTGTGTTGCGCACCACATCCGATTGGCCTCCTTTGTGAAGCGCAAGGTGCGTTGCTAAGGCGTGGCGGAGAGCCTGGCGGAAACGGGGCGCGAGCCCCTGTCCTTCAATGCCCCACAAAGCCGCCGGCTGAATGCCTCCTCTGTGCAATCTGAGTCTGGTCTTGAGGTTTGGAAGCCTCAGTGCGCGGAGACGGAGGCGTCTTGCGAAATCTTTGTTGCAGGGTGGCAATCCTGCGCCATCTTGGTGGTCTATCTCCAAATTTCTGATGACGGTTTGAATGGGGGGATCATCCGGACCGAGAAGTTGGCTCAGGGCCCGCTTTGTCTGCTTGTCGGTAACAATGGACAGCTTTCTTGTTGTTGACCTTGAGTCCAGCGGCTTGGAGACCGGCACTAAGCTCCTTCCATGCTTCTGTCACCTGAATGGCTAGCGCCGCATTGTGATGACTTCCATCAAAGCCAAAATCATCCACCCATCCATTGAGGTGCAACTCTGGGTACTTGGCCTGGAAGGGTTCCAGGATTGGCGCCAAATAGGCTTTGGCCGCAACTCCTGTTGTGACGTGAAACCATTGGCTCAGTTCCGCCTCGGCCATGATGGCCTTTGGGCCGGTGTAGACTTGCATGGCAAACTCCAAAGCCAACGCAAAGCCAATGGAGGGTATTGTAGCTCTTGTGCTACTTGCTGGAGGTGGGTCAAATCTATGGTGTCATAGAAGGTGCTCATATCCATTAGGACTGTCATGCCATGCCTGGAGAGTTTTGTTGCTCTCTTGTCGTAGCAATCGCTCAAGTGCAACATGAAGCGCGGTTGTGACTGGCCTGGCCCGGTCGTAGTCCATGTGGTGTGGCAGGTTGGTTTGCCAGTTGTCTAGGACATGCTTCCTCATCTTGCACCATGTGCGGTACGAAACACTGGTGAGTGTGATTGGACGCTCAACGTGTTCGTTTTTTTGCCAGCATGACCACCAAACTCATTTGGACGATCTTGAGTAGTGGTGGGAGTGCCTGTGGTGGTGCAGTCTGAAGCAGCTGCGTTGTGATGTCATGGCCACACGCCCGATCTGGGCTTGGGCCTCCTGCTGCAAGGAAGGTCTGGCCAGCGGTTGTTGATCTGCTGTGGGTTTCCAAAGTGAACGCAAATCTCGTAGACGACGACGCATGCGGTCAGCCATGGGTACATTGCGGTACGGTCGCTGCCAGGATAATTCGGAAGCTTCAAGGGATCTGAAAAGTCCTTTCAGTCCCTCAGCCTCACCCTGCCGGATCCATTTGGCGTATTGCAATTGCCATTCTTCTCTGCTATGAAGTTGTGCTGCTGCAAGTTGGTGGGCAATGGTCTGGAACATCAGTTCGATGGTTTGGTTGTCACCGTGGGCGGTGTCGTGGATGATCAGGATGCCTCCGTGCTGTGCGCCGGAGTACCAAAGCCATGGCGGCCTCGCACCTCAAAGTATTGACAGTGGAGCTGTGCAGCTGTGCTTCTGCTTGTCCAGGTGTGTTTCAAGAAACACATGTGGTTCGTTGTCTTTGCTCCACAACCAGTCGAGGGTGTGTTTCCCATTTGTTGTGATGTTGGCCACATGGATCCTCATCAAATCCAAATGTGTGTTGGGAGCTTGTTCTGGATGTTTTTCGGAATGACCGTCCAGGTGTTGGTCAGGAGTTCAGTGGCTTCTTGTTGCACCTTACTGCGTTTCAGTGGCTAGAAAGCCAGCCCTGGAGGTGCTTCCGGCCAGTCTGGATGAGATTTGGCTGGCCGTCCTTGACCTTTCCCTTTCCCCAAATGGCCTCCAGCATCCTGCCACCATGTGCCACAGTTGCGGCATTTGGTACCTTGTCGGATTTTGTCACTCCAGATCCAGTTTGTACAGTGGCTTCCCCTGCACACACTGTAGGACCGGCGCCAGCAGGTCGTCTTGGTGGTGCTCCACTGCATGATCACCTCGCCGAATCCGAACAGGCCTGGAAAATAGGCAATGAAGTAGGGATATATAACGGGCAAAGTGGTAGTTGAAAACCTCCAAGGTGGAAGGAGAGTGAAGCTCACCTGCAGGTGGATCCCAAAGGTGATGCTCAAGAGGCCAGTAGCCCAAGCGAGATCTGCCAGGTGCCAAAGAGCAAGTCGATAGCGAGGAAGATCTAGTCAGAAATTGCGAGCAAAGAATGCGCTGTACGTGAGGATGTCCCTGTGCCTGGTCAGAGAACTTGTCCTGCCTATGCTCGCTTGGGTGTTCCGCACAAACTGGACTTGCCAGTTTGAGCACTAGTAGCCTTGAGCCATGTATGTATGCATGCATGTATGTATGTATGACTGCATGTATGACTGTATGCATTCATGTATGTAATGTCATGGTGCTATGTCATGTTATGTTATGTTGTTCTATGCAATGTAATGGTATGTGGTTGTATGCTATGGTATGTCATGCTATGTTTTGGTATGTTGTCGCATGTTATGGTATGTTTGTGCATGGCACTGTATGTTTCGGATGTTATTGTATGTCATGTCATGTCATGTAGTGTTTTGGTATGGATGGTACTGCATGGTACGGTATACGTAGGTATGTAATGGTATGTATGTATTTATGTATGTATGCAGTTGTTTGGGTATATGTGCAATGATAGGCACACTGCGCACATGCCGGCCAGGTGCTTTACTGTCATGGTTTCTTGCCAATTCTACAGATGCTTGAACAAAAAAATTTGAATGGGATGCTTTTGTGAGCAGCAAGAGAAGAAATACAATTTTTCAATTATATGTCACTCTGCGGCATTGGGAGCCTCAGGACATTATCAGCTTCCAACCTGAAGGTGGACACATTTGGTACCAGGACTCCCCTGCACGCAGACGCAGAATCCTTTCTGAAGTCTTTGGCCAACAACAAGGGCAAGGATAGTAATACTTTCGGCTCTGTGATGCAAATGGTTTGGAATCAGAGAGTGGCTCTTCAGGCAAAGGCGTGATGATTTACAGTAGACAGGGTTACTCACTTATAGGCACGGTTACTCGCTCATGTTTTCGACAATAATTTGATAATTTGTTTGCTTGCTGGAAAACCAGAAGCACTCACTTTGATTCATTGTCGGAATTTCCAGGCCAATGCAGCTCCATTTGTGAATACTTCTGCGATATTTGATGTACCTGGGCCTGGCAATCCCTTGGCCTTTCAATTGCAGTGGCCTGGTTCAAATTGTTTTGTTATATACTGTATATAACATTTTCAGGTGACCATAGCCATGTAGCTCAGCACGCAAAGCAAACACACCCTTGCAGCGCGGAAGTTCAAACCCCTGTTCTTTCTGCGGGGAATGCACCTTCGGTATCCTTCGGGCATTACTTATATAACATAGGCCAAAGGTAGCAAGTTGTCCTTGTTGTCGTTGTTGCTGTTGCTGCGGTTGTTGTCGTGGTGGTGTGGTGGTGTGGTGGTGTGGTCTGGTTAGGAAGACAAAGCGACGGTTGTTTGTTTTGATTGTCATTCAATTCTTCGCCCGTTCTTTGCGGGGCACATTGCAGAGCAAGTCAATGGAAGTCACTAGCTATTATTGCGTGGAGCATAGGCATGGGCAACCGATCACATAATCACATGATTAGGATTGATTAGGTGAGTTCTTTCAGACGGACAGTTGAAGTTACGAGAGTGCCAATCATGTGGATCGACGTGGTTCATCCTGAAAGCTCCATCATCAATACTTTGTAGCGAGTGGTGCAGATATTTATCTGATACACGCAAGAAACAAACCCACCAGCCCAGCTTCCTCCCTGGCCGCTTTGTGTCGATGTTACTTGCAGCTAGCAGTTTAGGATGTTTTTGGACACAAGAAGGGGTTAATAACTACTGGAGTTCTTTTGGTTCTGTCCATGCTCATTAAGAACCTGAAGATGCCACAGGATAGAATCCTCATTATACAATCCTCATTCCAATATTAATTTATGAAAAACAAATTGTGAAAAACGGCGATGTTTGCTCATGAGCAAAAACCCTGAAGCTATTCTCCGTTCCGTTGACATTTGCGATACTGACTGCAGCACTGCCATATATCATCTCTTGAAGCTAGCCAGAACAGAATCTTGACAAATCTTGTGACACTATAAAATGAATAGACGTGACCAACAACTCACATATTTTGGTGCAACTTCATATTTCCTCCTTCCCATCCTGCCTTCCCGACTTTATATTTACGAGGCTATGTAAACTGACTTGGGTTTACTCCCAAAACCTTCGGTTTTTCATGAGAACACAGAACACCTGAAAAAAGACTGGAGAAACAAAGGCTTGGGTGGTCAGGCAAAGCCAAGTTGCAGTTACAGCACCCTAGTCTATATAGACCCCACCTGACCTCCAAATTCACTGCCTCGGCTGATTAAGGGCTACAAAGGCAGGAATGCTGTAAAATGGGTTTGCCTGACCACCCAAGCCTTTGTTTTCCCACCTGAGCCAGAAAGGTTTCCTGCCCTTGCGGGCCTCCTTGCAGGATGCCTTTGCACAATATATATATATAGAGTATAAGTATATAGTATAATTAGATATGATTAGAAGTTATTAGAGGGATTTAGTGTAATTAGGGGAAACAGACGGGGCGCACACACACACACACAGCAGAAAATTCTGTGTTTGGAGGTGAAGTTACGTTATTTATGGAAAACCGAAGGCTCCCCAAACCCTCTCTGGATTTTCTCTTGATGAACATATCATGAAGGGGACAGTGTTGGTTGCCACGATCCCTGCTTCTGGACCTGGTTGTTGGTATCGTTTGAACACTTTGGATAACTCTGACTATCCATGCATACCACTTGTGCTTCGTTTTCTGAAAAAATGATGTGAGTTGTAAGACCTTGTTTTGCAAAGGGTCTGGAAGCATGCCGGGGTTTCCAACTTAGATCAGCAACAAGCAGCAGACTTGGCCTGTCGAGAAGGATTTATGTGGATGTATGGTAATTAATCATTTTTGTGAGTTTCCATGAAGAGAACATAGGTGCAGTAGGGCCAAACTAGGTTTTGAGTGTTTTGGTCAGGTGGTTCACTTTATAGGGCCTCCCTGCTGGTTGGTTCAACCGTTTTATGTCTATAAAATGGGCTGCTGGATCCCCCCACCCATTCTGGATAGGGGATATGATATAATGTTCACATCACAATAATGAACCTCTCCCTAGTGAAACATGGAAGGCCAAAAATGTCGTAATAAAAAACTGCTCGCAATGATAAACCTCAGACCTTAAGATTCGGACAGCCTTTGACAATAGAAAGTCCTTCAATAACGAATCAATCACTAAAAACATCTAAAAACGTATTTGATAGTTTTAGGTTGGCTAGACGAGTTGAATTTGATTGCTGTTTTTGATTAACAAACATAGTTCATGAAGAATCTATTGACTGACTAAATAGATACAGTATTGTTTATATAAATATTTGCTGGACAGATGTTATTATATATACAGTTTTTTTCTGACAGAATTTTGTTTATTTTGGAACAAGTTATAGTTGACTCGCTCTCTACTTTCAACCTACTGAAACAACGTGTTTTTGTTGACAGTAGTTTATTATTGCATGGTTTCGGTAGCCGGATATTTTTGGGCTTATTATTGACTCGCAGTTTGCTATTGTGATGTGAACCAGATTGGGGCTACCTGCTAGGACCTGCTATTTATGACGTGTGGCTGATTTCACTCACGCCCATGGCCCGCTCATTTCTGGTGGTCTCCAAGGCAAACAAAGAACGCAAAGAAAAAGTGATGTCTTCAACTCTTCAACTCAGATTATGTACTGTAGATGCACAAGAGGGGTTAAGAGGCAACCATGGAACAAACTGTATGTATATATAACTATATATATATATACATAATGGGTACTCAGAAGCTTCAGGAAGTTGCAGGAAACCGTAAGCTAATTGTAGAACAACCTGAACAGTCTGAGGAAGGTCAAGGATTATAGTTCTGAAGACTTCCTGGACAAATCATATTTCTCTTCCACAACAACATGGCTGTGAGAATGACATACCTCACCTTGCCTGAAGCAAATGTGATTCATTCGATCCGCATGGCTCTCTCTGAACTGGCATAATGTTGGATGCTGATTTGCTTTAAGGGTTCTCTATTATGCTATTTTTTGGAGGATCCTACTTTTTTTGTTATCTGAAAAATAACTAATAAGGGTTTTAAGTCCTTCGGAGCCTGTGAATACTACTAAGCCAATGACTGGCTTGCTGAGATTGTTGATAATTATAGGTTTCTCTAGGCTTCTTCAAAACTACCAGCTTCCCGAAGCCATCAATTCCTTAGTCAATGTAAAGATTGCTCGGAAATAAATGTTCAAGTTAGTAGACCAGGAAGGCCCCCTGATCCCCAAGAATAATTCTGTTTTAAGGGTCCTCAATTGTGCAAAGTGTTTTCCTCAGCAAACAAGGTATTGATATGATATAGAATCATAATCATTCTTGATACTACTAAGCCAATGGCTGGCTTGCTGACAGTATTGATAAGGATGGGTTTCTCCAGTTCTTCTTCAAAGCCGCAGAGAACCTTCTTTGTTACGAAAGGCTAGGCTGGAGTTGTTGACATAGCCGGGCGAATCCAGAGCCTGGTGGGGGAGAGCGAACAAAAGAGACGTCACGAAAAGTAGTGAAATTCTATGTTGTTTTGGGGTGTTGTGGCGAGTGATGTATTTGACGCCCAAATAATGCATCATTAGCATCATGGGCCATGGGGTTCAGGAGGAAGGGAACGCGAGAAACAATGTCACCCGTAGAGGACACGAGAGGGAATAGAGCACAGTCAGCCACCTTGGAGTTGTTTGGGGGTGCAAAAGGGCACCCCTCAGACCTATCCAAATGAGTTGGGCTTTGGAGAAGGGGTGGGAGTTCATGTCGAGGACAGGAAAGGGGGAACAACGTGACACGAAAAGAGGTCGGTCACCAGGAAAGTCTCTCAGCTCTCTGCGTTTTGGCGAGACAGAGTGGATGGGAACGCGAAAAACGATGTCACCCATAGAGGACAGGAGAGGGAGTAGAGCGCAGTCAGCCACCTTAGAGTAGTTTGGGGGTGCCCCTTTTTATGGTGAAGAGTGCTGTTAACTGGATGAAAAAGGGCACCCTCAGAGCTATAATGTCCAACAACAGTTGGGCTTTGGTACGAAAAGGATAGACTATGAGGCGCCAGCAACTTAAAGGTTCCTGGCTGCATTCTATATATGTCTTTCCAGGAGATCACATTTCAAGACGCAGAGGTACGGATTACGCCTACAAATATTCTCCTGAGTTATCTGAATGCTTTCTCTAGGAGAAAGAGATTCTAGCCATGGACACACCCGGTTAGCCTGGTCAACTCCCTGTGAGATCGTTCCTTCAGGGGCCCTTTTTCTTGTGGTTTAGGGGCGTGTCCAAGCTGAAAAAAGGGCACCCCAAAGGCACTGAGGGTGCTTGGTTGCCGACTTCATTCCATAACCACATTGACGTGTTCTTACGGAGGCTAGCCTTCGTCCCCTCCCTTGTCAGGAACTCTTCTCAGTAGTTCAGAAGGATTGCTGAGAATATCTACATAGAGCCTGAAAAAACACATGATTCACAATAATCTATAGTTTGAAAAGAAAGGAACATGAATATTACAATCAAATACAAAAGGAATCCTCCCAGGGACGCAGATTTGTTTTGGTGTTAGTTTATGACAGAGGACCTCCCATTTGTTTAGCTGAGGGGGGGCCCTTTTGCTAATCAAGATCCAACATAATTATTCCAAGGAAACATATGTATTCAGAGGCTGCAGCGGCCGCAGCTGCATGAGATGTTCAGGTGTTGGAACATTGGAAAATGCTCATCCATTATCCATTTTGTTTTGCGTCGTTTTCTCGTCATCCATGCGCTGAGTATGATCAATGTCCCTCGTCGTATTCTGAAGGGAAGGTCAGGTGATGGAGTTCAAGGTTCATTCTTTCCAATTCCAACACAAAGTATCAAGACCCAGCCTTTTAAAGGGGGCAGTCACGGAGTTGGAGTTCACAGGCTAAACTCCACTCATGCCCAGACAGTTGCACGAATTCCTGCTGGACAATCAACATTGGATGCGACATGATGCGACCTTCTTTGCCAGTAGTCTCACTTATGAGGTTTGCTTCTGAGGTTTCATCACAAGATTTTGACAGGATGGTCAAGACACGGGACTGCAAGAAAACCTCCCGCCTCACAACGGATCGCCTGACTTTTGCTGCCTCAGCTTTGACTTTTCACACCACAGGTATCGTGCTGATCTCACGCCACTGAACCGAACCCTACTTCGACGACTCCGGTCACATAATTTCACATCAATTCGGTGTAACAACTTCAATTTCGGACTCGGTGCTCCATAAAGAGTTTCAGGAGCGACAGGGTGCCAAGGACCAGAAAGATCCAAGCCTTAGATGCTCAAGAGTCACCACAATACCCCACAGCATCCAAAAAACAATGCTATCGGGGACCCGGAGATACGAAGTGGGAGAACTTGGCCGCCAGGAGTCACTCAAATATGCCACGAAGAGAACCACGTGGCCACCGACAAGTAGAAAGATAATCCCAAACAAATCTGGTCCAATCCAGAATCCACGCCAACAGGCAGTCGAATGACCTCCAACCATCAAAGTCTTGGGAGCGAGATGCAGCTCACAGACATCATCACTCATCACTCAAATCGTCGAAAACAAGTAGCAAGAAGCTACTACTAGGTGAAGGCCACTATTACATGCAAAACCATCGCACTAGTAACAAAATGCTACTAGTTTTTTCATGCACCATGGGCGGGAAGGCGAGTGCTCTCCAAAATGGGAGCAACGGTCATCACAATTTAAAGTCGCCACGCAGGTAGTGAGCAACCATGTAGAAGCAACTGCACAACATAAAAGGCAAAACTGCAAATCAACACAAAAGGGAGTTTGTGTGGCACACACCATACAACCAAGGGCCTGGTCCCCTGTTCACGACAGGCTGGCGGAAACACTCAAGATCTTTACCAAGAGCCACCACACTCATTAAGACGCTTGGCAATAGCTCAGACCAAAAAGCTCCATCAAAGGTACCCGCCGCCAAAGCAAGCGCTACAGAAGACTATGCCTAGACCAGACCAGCATCAAGGAGGCGACCTCTCTAAAGCACCAGCAAAGGGGCGCACCACCTAGCTCCGAAGTGTGACGATCAAGCCATCACAAGCGCCCTGTCACTAGCCAATGAGAACAAGCCTCAGAACTCCCACCAACAATGTGCCACATCAATCAGAATGCGAGCACCACTCAACAAATCGTGCTCACTGCGATGCGAACAAAGTTCTCCGCAATTCCAAAGCCGTGGGTAAGGCTACATGAAGGCAGGAGGGCAGAACCCCCCAAGGCCCGAATTCGGTGTTCTCCTAGTACCAGCGGGGGCTTACATGATGTTGCTCAGCCTGCTTCACTGCCGCTTGCAATCACCTGTCTTGCTTGGCCTACAACTTCCTGTTGTGGCTGTTCTTCACTGGACCCGAGCCGAGCATCTCCAACGATGTCTCCTGGATTGGTGACGCACTCGTGTCATGTCATGTCCATGCTCGTCCACCAGAAGCTGTGCGACACATTTGTATTGCCATTTGTATCAATTGCATTTGTAATGCTAGAAGAGCAGAGGATGTCGGATAGCAGAGGTGTATGGTATAGTCAATTCACGGCTTTGGCATGCACATGTCAAACTGTTGCACAACATCAAGGTACTCTGAGATGGAGGTGTCATTTAGCACCGCAGACTGGATTCTGTCGCTGGGTATTGGTGTGGAAATCCCCAGAATGGGGGAGTGCCTTGGGCACCATTCGTAGTGGCGAGCCTCTCTTCACAACTGTTGAATGATGCTAAACCGATCAAGAAATACATTTTGTCCGACCATTGTGGGTTTGTCCCGAAATACGAGATAGTTTCAATAGGCAGTGAAGACGTCGCTGTGTTTGAAGGAAAGCTTTCGTAGAGAATCTGGCCTACAATGCAGAGCAAGGTGCTTGGGCCCCAGCAAATACGGACAACGTCCGGTAGATTTGGCTTCAGATTATAGCTTGCAACGGCTTGCAGGTCGAATTGTTTGTCCCACCAATTAGGGGTCTTCAGCTATAGAAAAGACTTCGGAGGAGATCGGAAGTTTTGGACCCGAGCGGGTCCCGAGCAGTTTCCGGAGCAAGTTCCGGGGGAGGTTCCGGAGCAGAGCAGGTTCTGGAGCGCATTTTGCCAGAGCAGGTTCCGGAGCAAGTTCCGGAGCAGGTTCCATAGCAGGAGCTGGAATACACTTCATGAACTTCATGAAGAGGAATTTCCGAAACTTCCGAATCAGAGTCTGGCGCAAATTCCCAATCTTCGCGGCAATTCTGCGGATATGCTGACATGGTGATGCACTAAACTCACCCCACCCCACCCCCACAGACACACGACTCCCAACTTATCAGACCTGTCATCGATGGCAATCGATGGCAAGCCTTAGATCACAGAGAAATGGCCACCCACAGATCATAGAGAACTGTGTGTGTCGGCTGTGCACGGATGTCAGATTCGGTGATGTGGCCATGGGCCAATCACTCCATTAGATCCCACCCCGCAGCCCACCCCACCCACCACCCCACCCCATCCATGATGCTGATGATGCTGTTGTCGGTTGACAATTGCAGGGCGCCCTCTGTCACGTCGACATTTGTGACGCGCTAACATGTTTTCATGCTGACATGCTGAGGTGGTGTCACGTTGATATGCTGACCTGGTGTCACGATGGCGTGTATGACACTTTCATGATGCTGTGTACATGTTGTGCCGGCGCTGACAGGTCCCTAACACTGGCAGGATCCAGAGCGAGTTCGGGAGCAGGTTCCAGCTGCAGCGCTGTCCTGCTTTTGCATGGTTCAACATATGTGGGCACAGATTTTGCATGATTTTGCCATGTGGTGGTGCTTGCATGGCACATTGAAAAGGGCCACATGTTTCAATGCGGCACTGTCTGGCAAAAAACAGCATTAGTTACATAGTTACAGTAGTGGACTAGGCGAAATCATGCCCAACTGTTGGGATTTGTTTTGTTTATGTTGTTCTCTAATATTCACCAACGAACAAAAGACGATTCAAAAACTAGATCCGATTCAGAAACTACGATTCAGAAACTTGCGATTCTGAAACTACAGAGTGTGCCGATCCAGAAACTCACCCGACTCAGAAACTGGCCGATTCAGAAACTACAGGGTGTCCCGACCCAGAAACTCCCTCGATTCAGAAACTGATCAGAAACTATCCGATTCAGAAACTGGGGGGGGGGGGGGGGGGGGGGGGGGGGGGGGAATCTAATGAGATATTTGTTTTGATGTAGGGTTGACATATTCGTATTTCACAGACCCGATTCAGAATCTATCCGGTTCAGACCCGTTCTAGTTTCCGAATCCTAGTTTCCAAATCCGCGCCGTGCCTAGTTTTCGAATCCGCTGTTGACCATTCACCAACAGGGAAGCTGGGTCTTCAGCCATATTATAGTAAAGAGATGTAAAGAGTATTGAGCAGATCGGAGCAGGTCATTCTAGGAGGTTCGACAGAGCAAGTTCTGGAGCTGTTTCCCCGGCAAGTGCCGAAGCGGAGGAGGTTACAAAGCAGGTTCTGGCGGAAGGTCCGGAACAAATTTCAGAACACTTTTCAGACATGTTATGTGTCTTTGACACGGAGCAACGACTGTGTGTTGCGCATAATGCTCTCGCCGCTCGCGCGGACGTGTAGACATGCTGACATGTTGTAGTCACATGTTGTCACGCTGGTCAGGCTATCATGCTGACATGTTGCCATGCTGAGATGATGCTGAAGTCGGAAGTCGGGTCATGCTGTCACTCTGACTGCCAGTTTCAGGTTCCGGAGCAGGTTCCCTGGTTCTTGTTTGTTGTGTCGTTGTCATGCCTGCGCATCTGTGGGCACATGTGCTCGGTATGCTCACATCGCACGCTGACAAGGTTCATACGTTTGAATTCAGCATTGTGTGGCAAGGACGCAACATTTGTTGGTGAACTTATCATGTTAATGTTACCATTGCCCAATAGGCGGACTCATGCGGACCCCAGCCGTTGGGAACTTTTCTTGTGTGAGTATACTGTGTATACCGTAAGCCTTGTTTTTCTGGTGCCGGTCAAAATCTTGCATGTGAATGTGTTGATGTCAACTCAGAACTGATACTTCTTTGAGGTCATCATCAGCTGGGGCCGCCAAGGGCAAAATCCTCGCTCAGAAGCAGAGGTGGTGGAACAGTTGGGAATCACGACTGGCCAAGATTCCGAACATGACCCTTTTCATGCCGCAGGAAACTCACAGTCGCAATCTTTTGTGCTTGACAATTGTCCCGCATTCGACCATGGCTTGGGGGCGCAACTCACGTGTTTCAGCAACAGGCTGAATCACCACATGCCAGGTAACCGACCCACCCACCAACTTGAATGGGGGGTTCGGACTGCAGCGTTCTCAAGCGGAACCAGGTTCGTCAGATTTTCAGCCTGCACGGATTTATACTCGATGAACTCGTGCAGCCCAATTGCACTAGTAGTGGGAGTTTCATCAGCATCAGCGGCTCACAATTTGGTTAGATCAAGACAAACATCGCAAAGCTACAAGTCTTGGAGGCGACCAATGTCTTACAGTAGGTAGGGTCTTGCGACAAAATGCCAAGGACCTCGTACTTAAGACTTTTCTCTGGCCTTGCACATGCACCTGAGCGGGATGATTTATTGGTCCTCAGAAAGGCAACGAGAAGCGCTTCAGAGTGCCTTGGATGATGTGAATTTACCCATGCCAAAAACCCCAAGAATGGGAATGTCCTCTAACCCGCACGCCCTGCCATCTCCTGCCTTGCATTCTCCCTTCATCCATTTTCCGCTTTCTCTTTTGGTGTTCTTCCAGGCGCGGTCTGGTGGCTTTGGAACTCATCGATGAGCCACTTGCCAAAAACTCTTGTACTATTGCACGGTTCAAGGAGCTCCTTTTCATATTTTATATATACACATATAAACTAGGTGTATTCGCACATATTTGACAAACATTTTGCGGGGTTTCTTGCGAACAGCTTGCTGAGTTGAGTTCTTGAGGTGGGGGTTTGATCGATGTGCTGCTGCAGGGGTGGAAATGCAACACGGCCTCCAGGTCTGGAGAAAAAACATGGGGGTAAACAAATCACAGGCATAGCACAAACACGACAAACACATAATGATAACACATTGTTAGCACATGTCAACACAGATCCTTTCCTGAACCACCTTTTAGGAGACATGGCCTAGGCCACAGTTTTTCTGATCCTTGTTATTGACACACGGAGTTGGACTGGTCGAATCACCGAGCAACTCGGGACATAGCAGCGGCATCGTATTGGCATCGCATGTCTTTTCCCTGCAGGGGAAGGCATCGCAGTATGGCCCGCTTGGACATGGTCGTTTCCCGGCTTATCTAAAAAGACCCGAGCCTTGTTCGTTCAAACCCAGTGAAGAAAGACAATCAATGACTTCAGTGCAGACTTGTTTAAAGCAAGCTCGTACGAAACTTAACGCGAAGGTAAATTGGAACACATTTGTTTGTTTGTTTATTCAATTCTTTGTTTGATGTGGTGGTTGTGATCTGGTTAAGTGTAGTGCGGTGAAGTGCAATGTGATGATTTGCCAAGTGGTGAAGTGCAAGCAGTGATTCTGGATAGGCACGCTCAGTGAGCCTGCTCTCAGTAAAGAGAAATGTGGCATAGCAGAAGTGTGGCCGTGTACTACTCCACGTCCGGAACAGGCAGAAAATAAATTGACCTTGGCGGCTTAGGGTCGAAGTCCCAAGCCTTGCCAATCATCAATGATAATGGCTCAAGCTTCTTGTGTTCGCATTGCGAAGTTCGCATGTTTGTTGCAGAAGGTTAGTGCCCAGAAACGCGCCGTGTCACAGCCGGTTTAAAGGCGCCACTTCGCCGCCACACACGAAGCAATGAATTGTCGGTAGAACCATAGCACTTCGCGGTGGAAATTCTACGACTTTTCCATACTTTCCTCCGGAGCTTTCTACTTTTCGATAATGATCATACTTACCTCCAAAGCTTGAATTTAGATTAATTTAGATAACTGTTAATACATTTTTCTAGAAGTGACTACTTCCCATATTTTGGGCTACTTTCCTGTATAGAGATCTGTAGTTTCGCACATGCTCGCCGAATTTTGATACATCTTTACCTTGGCTAGCGTTGGCGATGCGTTTGGAATCCTGCGATGCTGTGGGCCGTGCGCATGACGGGAGCGTGTAAGTCAGAGAGCAGTCAGGGGCAAAACTGGAGTCGTAAAAAGAGACACCAATTGTTTGGGTTGCAGAAGGCTGGCAGAGGATGAGAGCCTGTTGCACAATTCCATTGGGGAACGGAATCGGGAGTTGCAAAATGCAATGCCAGGGCTGCTGAAGTTTGGAGTGCAGTTCTACACATGTTTTTACTTTGTTATGTGTTGCTTTTCCATGTCATTCCAACTTTCTCTTTGAATCAGAACGTGCAAGTTGCTGTACTGCAATATGTAGGATCAAAAGAAATATAGATCCTCGTTACCATTTACAACTAATAACTATGAAATGCAGGGCCTTAAGGCCCCCATAAAAAAGAACATGTATATTATAAAGTCATATAAAATCTGTTTTTGAGCATGTCCGAGCATTTTGTAGAGACCCAGTTTGTAGTGGAAATGAGTGACCTGGAGGTCTGGAAGGCATTTTGTAAGACAGGACATCTGAGCGCAAGCAGAGGTATTCACCCCATTCTGTAGTAACATCCACTGGTTTTGACAAACTTCGCTGAGGTATGGACCCAATTGTGTAGAGGAAAACTGTGTTTTTGATTAGTAGCAAAATTATTGTTTCAGAAAAAGAACACCAGATAGATAGAAAGCATCAAAAATGGCGGCGTCACCAACGCTGTTGTAAGATTTCCTGGTTTATGACAAGTGTATAGTGTATACAATATTTGGTATGGCGCACGACCTTTTTGTAGTAATTTTCAAAATTAACAGACATTCTCTTGAAGCCACCCATCTCTCGAGGCGTGCATTTGTTGACTAGTTTTGACTACTTAGAAGTGGTATTGAAGCAAACCTCTGCAGATGTCTTGCAAAGTTGAATCGCTTGAGTCATGCGAGCGCGTTGAAAACAAGAGGTGAGGACCCCATTTTGTAGAGACCAGCTTTCATTGTCAAGCATGACTTGTGCTGAGGTTTGGACCCCATTTTGTAGTAACATGCTTGACTTTTTGTTTGGGACATGGGGTTTGCACGCCCGGCATTTTGTAGAGACCCTGAGCCCCACGTAGAAGCATTCTGTAGAGAATAAGCGTTTCATATCTACAAAGTGAGGTGACATGACCTCACCATGAAAATACACACCGGGATAAATATAGTTAGTATATCTATTATATATTTGGTATATTAATAAATCATTAATAGTTGTATATTATGTCTCTTGAGTAACAGGTTGGTGGTCAGTCATTAGACCAAGTATACTGAACGCTGATGTTGTGGGCCCTCTCTAACCCAATTGAGGGTCCACATAATCAATGGCAGGGGAAGATGGCACAGATGTTGATGATTTCGAACATATTGTTCCTTGGGCTGGGCTTGTCAAAACTTTGTTGCAGCTGGCAGCTGCACCTGACAACAGAGTTTTCGGACAGTTGGTTGCAATCCGGGCTTAGTTTTCACGGACATGTCCACGTGGGACACTGTTGTTGTGAGGCACAAGAAAGTCACATATTTAGCGGCAAACAATGTGTTGAGGATCCAACATGTGTCAAATGCGATGTCCCTACTTGCCCATTTTTTGTGCCTGCACAAAGGTCCTTCTGGCTCTTGTTTGGGTCGGGGAACTCCGACGAATCACGAGTAAACAAAATCCGTCAAATCCATGATTTGATGAGCGTAGTAGGATTTGAATGCATCAGTTCACGTAGTCGGCGAACAGATGGTGGTCTCTCTTTGTTGAGATCCTTCTGCAGGTGCAATGGAATACCGCCTTGTACAAATACACTGTCACTTGTGTGTTTAGATAGTCACACAATGTGAAGATCCAGCTATCCAACAGCAGGGTGTGACCAGTGAGACAGGACACAAACACTGGAAACGGACAAAGCACAATCCGACACCACATGAGACTCATACTGTAGAGTAGACAGGCAATAACGTCCTTGATCCTACGCTGTCACGCATTGCACGCCTGTGATTTTGGATGTGGATGCGCAGGCACTATACAGTAGAAACTAGCAGATATCAACAGGACCCTGTTGGAACAACATCCAAGGAGCTTGAGTATAGGTCAAACAAGCAAAAAAACAATTATGCAACCAGGACCCAAGCTCTTCCATACAACCGCGGCTTCATGAGCCAATGTACAACATTGACCACACATGACATACAAGTAGCATAATGCTGGAACCACTGCACTGTAAAACTGATAAGTCAGCCTGCTAAGTCAGCAATATGTTTGTGTAAAACTCTGCAACATCACAAATTGTAGTTCGTGTTCAAAAGCCACACGATGCCAACAACGACATATTTTTTGCGTTTAATACAATGTAATGTTTGAACATGTTCGCTTAACTTATCAGCAGTGTGAAAAGTGAGTAAAGGTCACGAAGGTCGAACTAAGTTGGGCAAACCACAAGACTTCCAAACTGCAGCTGTACCAGGCATGTGGGTCAGTGGCAACTGTGTTGGCCGCTTCCGTGCAGGCCGTCATGCCTCAATTGTTTGAGTCTTGAAGGGTATTGATGTGCGTTGAGATGCCATGATGCGTCAGTCACGGACAAGCATGCCCAAGTGTGAGGTTTAGCAAGAGTACAGTATTCTACACAAATCTATGGATTCCACAAGCCATATGCCTCAAAATTGTTGACTGTTGCTAAATGATAGAGCCGTGCACGCACAGGAAGGTCAGGGGAGATGGTCTTGTGCATCAGCTCCTTTGCCTGAACTTCCGCCTGGGAGGCAAGTCACCCCCTGAACTCCGCTGTGTCAAAGTTGGTTTGTCTCAACAATCACCTCCAAAAGTGGCCGAAGGAGCCGTCACATGGCCCACTCAGTTACCCCGTGCTTGCTGGTCCGTACCAAATATTGCTACGTCCTGGACCCGATAGGATGCCGTCACCTGTCAAACCCACTGCACTTGGCCCTTTTCCTTCATTGCCAGCACCTAAACCGAAACCTGAATGTTTGTTGTATTACCTTTTTTAGCGATGTTTCATGCTGCATGTAGATTTTGGGGTAAGATGTCAAAGACATGCTTGAGTGATTCCGAGCACATACCTTTGTTTTTGCTTTGTCTCTTTTCCTTGCATTGTTCGTTCTCGATGGTTGTTCTTATTAAACCGATAGTAAAGATATACTTCAGGGCCTTCAGGGTTTATAGAAGGAGAGAGAGGTGTCCAGCCAATCGAAAATCAATTCGGACACGCTTCATTGCAAGAGGGTGGTTTCTCAAACCAAAAGCAGAGGCTAAGGAATGCACTTGGGGAGGCTTGGTTTTGGAGCTGGATAGTCTATGCATGGATAGTGCATGATAGTGTACATATATATATAGAGAGAGAGAGGTGTGGGGTCTGACCAAGTTGTTTCGCAGCACCCGATTCTGGAGATCAAGCTACACCGTGTGAAGATTGATGCAAAGCCCATAGGCTACTGGCTATTTCCCGGCTTGGTCTTGAATAGGCATATATATATATATCTATCTATACGATCTATACGTATATTGCTTGTATGTCAATCCATTCAGAGCCAGCTGAGGTCACAGCAAGAGGTTTCGAGAATGCGACCTGCCCGGCTTGGAGCCGGGCTTTGAACAGCTTTCAGGCAAACCGACCACGGGCATGGGCAGGCATAAGTGGGCACATGGCTTTGCATGGCTTTGCACTTGGAGTCAGAAAAGCCATGGTAGTACAGCTAGCCTGGCCTGGTCATCCACAAGAAAACTATACTTATATACTATGTGTGCGTTAGGTCTTGGTGTTGCTACTACCAGAAACAAGATTGCATACAACTTTTGCAAGAATGCTTCTTAACATCGCCTTAATATTCAAGTCAAGTCCAAGTGTTTGCCATGGGATTCATGGGATTTGATGAATCCAGTTGATGACACAATCTCCCCTGAACTTGCACTCGCTGGGTTTCATAAGTTCGACCAGACCTATTCAACTGGGATTGAAGAGCGTTGTTGACATGCCATGTGCACAAGCAAGGGCATTGCAAAAGATGCCACGCATTTGATATTGTTTAGAACCAGCTCTAGTTGACAGACAATCCAGATGCATGCAGATTTTTGTTTTTTTCATTGAACACTCACGTATATGCTCTTTTGTGCCTGTCCAGAGTCGCAAATTGTGAGCTCCGATGGTATGGGCTGCCAGCTGGGCTGCATTTCACACAATGCGCTTTTCAGACTCATTGGAGACCATATAGAACGGAGAAGCTTGGCCAACGGGTTATGCTGAACAATTTGAATGGACGTCTAAGTGAAGTGGCTAGCTTGCCTTCTGATTCTTGCCTTATGATCAGGTGTCGAGCGATGTTGCACGCCGGAAAAGAACGTGTTTTCTCAGAAGAGACACGGTCAGCCATGCCTGCAATGCGAGGCAATACGAGTCCCTCAAAGAGATTCCATCGACTTGGGTCGCAGAATGTGATAATGAAGTACCGGAGCACTGGAGAAATCTTGGGTGCTGGAGTTTCGGGGGCAATTCTCCGGGGCATCGATGAACACGGGACACAGGCGCTGATGAAATCTGCCTCACACACGGTTTGGGCACCTGAACCTGTAATTGGTCAAGTGAGCTGTGAGCTCTTGTGTTTTGTCCAACTGGATCCTACATGGTTGGTTTTGTTGTTCATGATTCCAAGCAATCTAGATGTTAGGGTATCATGGGGTATCCCGTATCCTGAAGTGCTCACAGGTGGCGATGAAGACCTTGAGAGCTGGCAACTTTACAAAAACATCGGAGAAAATGGTCAAGCACTTCTCCCGAGAGGTGGAGCTACTTTTACTGGTGAGAAATCCTCACATCGTCGAGCTTTTGGACGCATTTGAGGGCCCTTCATCCATCACCATCGTCACCGAGCTGTTGCAAGGTTCTGGGCATGAAACTCTTTGATAAAGTCGAAACATCTTAACTATGACAATTGAGTCATTTCAATGCATATCAAGTCCATGAATCAGGTTTGTCGTTCCTTGATTCTTCATAGTACTGTATACCACTTGACCAGATCTGAGTAGAAACCTTGGAGACTAGACTTCAACTCTTGCATATTTAATCAATTTTAGTTTAATATGTTCTGCTTGTTTTTTCCCGAATGCGTAGCGAAGGGTTCTCGTTTAACTCTAGGGGTCTGGGGGTAGAGCCTTGTTCGCGACTCGTTGTCTGAGCGTCCGCAACCGTTGTCAACCGTTTGCAACCGTTCGCAACCGAGACTTGTCACGAAAACACAGCTTCGATACAACACCCTGAAACGCATTGAACGCAAATCCCGATGTCACAGCCACATCCAACACCCCAAACACACCACTCTCCAAACGCCAATCCCAATGTGACTGCGCAGAAAACTGCCGATCTCACAAAACGCTGCGCCTGTGCAGTGAAGTCATCCTCCACACTTCAACCAACATCTTGCGTTTCCACACGTTTCCTCGCTTCTTCACACGAATCTGACCCATCACGCTTCCATCCAAAACCCTCTCCAAAAGCTTCCCCCAATGGCAGCGCCTTAGCGCTCTACTGCGGACAGCTGCAACGTGCTCAGAACGGGCCAAAATCATTCCAAACGTGTGGTGTGGTGCAAATTGTGTTGAAGCTAACATGATATGATCTTGTCACTTTTCGTGGCAGGCGCAGTACTTTGTGCGGGACAGTTGTGGAAGTGCGATTTTCGTGGCAGGTGCAGGGAATCGTGAGGTTGCGAGGTGTGGCGGAGGTCACATTTCGTGGCAGGCGCAGCACTTTGTGCGCGTGTGGACACGTAAATTTTCGTGACTGGCGCAGGGAATGGTGAGGTTGCGAGTTGTGGTGGAGGTGAATGTCGCTGTGACATTGGGATTGGCGTGTGAGCGGGCGTTGTTTGGAGGGGCTGCAAACGAGTTTGACTTTGGAGGAAGTCTCGTACGAAATGCTCGTTTTGGAGACTTTGACTTTTGGAGGAAGTCTCGTACGAAACGCTTGTTTTGCAGACTCGAAGCGTGAATTGTGGAAGAAGTCTCGTGCGAAATGCTCGTTTTGCAGTCTTGTCGTGTGACTGTTGGAGGCAGTCTCGTGCAAAACGCTCGTTTTGGAGATGTGACTTTGATTTTTGGAGACTGTAGTCGCTGTCCTACAGAGTCCTACAAGAGTGTCCCACGAAGAGTTTCCTACAAGAGTGCGCCGCAAGAGTGTCCCACAAGAGTGTCTGACCAGAGCAGTGTCCCACAATAATTACATACAAAAATGTCCCACAAGAGCGTCCTACAGACTCTTTCGCAAGAGTGTCCTACAAGAGTGTCCCACAAGAGTGACAAACAAGATTGTCCCACAAGGGTGTCGCGCAAGAGTGTTCCACAAGAATGTCCGACAAGAGTGTCCTACACGAGTGTCCCACCGGAGTGTCCCACAAGAGAGCGCTGCAAGAGTGTCCCACAAGAGTGTCCCGCAAGAGTGTCCTGAGCGCCCCGCAAGAGTGAGTGTCATACAAGAGTGTCCCACAAGAATGACAAACAAGAGTGTCCCACAAGAGTGTCACGCCAGGGTGCCCCACAAGAGTGTCCTACAAGAGTGCCCCACAAAAATGCCCTACAGCAGTCCTACAAGACTGTTTCGCAAAAGTATCCTACAAGAGTGTTCCACAAGAGTGAACAAGAGTGTCCTACAAGAGTGCGCAGCAAGAGTGTCCTACAAGAGTGTCCCACAAGAGTGTCCTACAAAACTGCGTCGCAAAGTGTCCTACAAGAGTCCCACAAGAATGTCCGACAAGAGTGTCCTACAAGAGTGCCCCACAAAGAGTGTCCGACAAGAGTGTCCTACAAGAGTGCCCCACAAGAGTGGCCTACAAGACTGTTTCGCAAAGTGGCACACAAGAGTGTCTCACAAGAATGACAAACTGTTTCCCAAAGTGTCCTACAATAGTGCCCACAAGAATGTCCGACAAGAGTGTCCTACAAGAGTGTCCCACAAGAGTGTCCTACGAGAGTGTCCCACAAGCGTGTCCCACAAAAGTGGCCTACAAGACTGTCTCGCAAAGTGTCCTACAAGAGTTTCCGCAAGAGTGCCCCGCAAGAGTGAGTATCATACAAGAGTGTCCCGCAAATGTGACAAACAAGAGTGACCCACAAGATCGTCCCACAAGAGTGTTCCACAAGAATGTCCGACAAGAGTGTCTTACAAGAGTGCCCCACAAGAGTGTCCTACAAGAGTGTCCCACAAGAGTGTCCTACAAGACTTTCCACAAGAGTGTCCTACAAGAGTGTTCCGCAAGAGTGTCCCACAAGAGTGTAATATAAGAGTGTCCCACAATCCCACAAGACTGTCCTACAAGACTGTTTCGCATGAGTGTCCTACAAGAGAGTCCCACAAGAGTGACAAACAAGAGTGTCCCACAAGAGTGTCCCGCAAGAGTGTCCCACAAGAATGCCCGACAAGAGTGTCCTACAAGAGTGTCCCACAAGAGTGTCTTACAACAGTGCTCCGCAAGAGTGTCCTGCGAGAGTGAGTGTCATACAAGGCGGTCCAGACGAGTGCGCAAGAGTGTCCGCAAAGGCTTGCGAAAAGAATGTGTCCTACAAGAGTGTCCCGCAAAAGTGTTTCCTACAAGAGTGTTAAGAATTGTTTGGGAGTTTTTTCGAGTATTTACGTGTTTGCATTCATTCGGGTTCGTGGGTTCCATCTTGTTTTGTCAGGGCTGATGACTCACTGAAGCCTTGGCATTGAGCTTGCAAGGAGGCACACTGCAGAGCTACTTGATCGACCAGGAAATCCTTCAAGAGGAGGAGGGAGACCACGTTGCTGACTTGTAGTTTTGGTTCTAGTAGGGTGGTGGATCACTTGCGTGCCACAGATTTGTCTCACTTGCGCGCAATGAGGCTCTAAAATTCATGCCAAAATGAACAAGGCACCACAGATTAGATTCCACAGCCACAGATCACTTGCGTGCCACGGATCTCCTCCACACTGAAGGGCCAATGAACACAAGTGGGTGTATTGGCTAGACAGGGCTTTGGCAGTGTGCATCAAGTTGTTGAAACATCTCGGAAAAATCATTACCTGACAGTCAGCTTTTGCTTAGAACTTGATGATGAAGGATTCCTTGGAAAGTATGGATCAGTGTGTCAAGTCAAGGAGGAATACAAATGAAGCGAGGCAATCATTCTGTTTGGGTATAAGTGGCTTGCAGAATAGGTCGGGTATACTGTATACTTTGCATTTTTCAAGATGTCCGAGAGGCTTGACTTGATTCCATGACATGCTGCTTTGCTATGCTGCAGTGAACGAGGTGCAATCGAACTACATCAGCCATTCCCCTGTCCATATCCTCTATGAAATCAGGAAGGTCAACCCCCTTAGAGGGTTGGGTTCCTATTTTACAGAGGATTTGCGCGTGTCATTGTATGTTGTTGTTCAAGACTTGCTGCCAATTTCATAGACGCAACAAACACGTCTTTGGTATTGTCAAAAAACTCTCAGTTCAGGCTTCCTGCACACAGACTTTTGACGTGGGGTCCTGGTGAAAAAATATATACATCTGGAAGAACGGTAGGGTTCCAAATTTTATCACGAAAGCCAGCCGATAGGCTAGGCTGGAGTTGGGTTGGGCGAACGAAGTGAGTATAAAGTTGGTGTGGGAAGGGGGCCGCACACGGGTCAATTTCGGAGGGCGAACCCAGAGCCTGGTGG